TGTTATATATAGCAAATATATATTTACTACTCCCTCCATCCCATAACAATGTATTCATTTACTTTTTGCGTGTTGATATTTGAATATTAATTATTATATCAAAACATATTACAAATAAAGGGAAAATGACAAAAATACTTTTATTACTATCTTATAATACTAATATAATGAGATTTTTACAAAAAATTATAAAAATATAATGATATTTTTAATGTTAAGTACAATGACGTAAAAGACAAATGAATACATTGTTATATGACGGAGGAAGTATTAAAATGAGCTATTGATATTTTTATATTTGGATGAGAAATTGTTTGCATGTACAAAAAGTCAAAACCTTTCTTGTTTCTATTTTTGACATATCAACAAGTGGACAAATAGTTGTTGCTTCATACCATTTTTGAAAATATGCACAATGACACAAAGTTGATCAAGCCAGCCACCTTGGATGTATTCAACATGTCCTACACTCGATGGAATGTGACAAATATATTTATGTTGGATAGAGGATTTGAGGAGAGGTCATATGAAGTGTCCCTTCGTATTGCATGACATTTATTGCCCTGATAGACTACCCCAAAGTTGATACACAATCAACTTTGTCTTTTGTGTGCAGTGTTTGTATTTTGTTTTCTTGTTTTGTGTTTGTATTAGATGTGAGATACACAACACTTTGAATGAGTTTTTTTTCTCTCCACCTGATAGAGTGTTGAGAGGTACTTCTATGGGGGTCTGAAGCGACGAGAAGAAAAATTCTTGGAGTCGAAGCTAGAGAAGATAATCATCTGGCATGCAATCTTATTCTTAGTTGGATGGTAGATTTGCTAGAGTCGTTATAGAGTAGTAATAGCCAGTCCATGAGAGTTTGTAAAACTAAATGGAGCTTCGGTAGAAGATGGTTGAGTAGTTTGGATCGGTGTCTTATATGGCGTAAACCAAGAGTTTGGTTTAGTTAAGAGCCCTGGATTAAAATATCCCATACGTAGGATGGAAAACCGAACTGGATAAACAAATCTTGTGTGCTATTTTCATTTATGCACTTATTTAGTCATCGATTTGTGCACGAACACACACAACCATTATAACCGCGAGACAACTACGTTGTAAAACTGTGTTAACATAGAAACATTTCATAGTTCTGCTGTACAAGTTATTCGAAGGCGTTGGACTTTTTATTCGATCGGCCTCGTGATTTCCAACAGAAATATACAAATACATTTAGAGCAAATCAATAAATCTAATTAGATTATAAATTTAAATATGATTATTAGATATAATTGTACTTTATATCTTTTAAAAAAATATTATCAATGTTATTATATATTTTTCAAAAAATTTGGAATATTTTACGAAAGAATTTGTTAGCTCATAAACAATTATATTTTCCTTAGAAACTCAAAAGGCCCACTACCCAAAATACCAAAATCGCAAGGAAAAATTCGATTGCGATCCTCTTTGAGAATGTCGTTGTTACATTTTTTCCAGGGAATTTTCGATAAATTTTATTCTCTTGCAAAATTTGAACCAGATAAATCTATTTTCCGGTTTTTCCTGAAAATTTTAACAACTATAAGATTTTCATCCTCACCAAGCAACCCATTTCCATTGTTCAACTAGTAAATCTATTAAATATACAAAAATCAAAAGAAAACATATACCAATATTTTAGGGGAAATATAAAGTGAATTACATATTTTATAACATAGACTAAATGTACTTAGTCCCAATCATTCCACGCGAAATATTACACAAACGTATAAAATGCTTTTATGACTCAACGAAACCAAATAAAGTCTTAAGCAACCTCTTCAATGACAATATTGGATCGAGATACCGAGGTACTGCCACAATTGGAAGTGGGGTCGACATTGTGGATGTGTGATCCTTCGAGTTGCTAGAGCTTCTCCATGATGATCATAGTATGATCGTTGATGTCTTACTATTGGATTTTCATATTCATCATGCACTGATCCATATGATCCAACTGACTATGTACTTAACCAAAAGTTAGAAAAAATATGTTGTAGTTGGTCCATCACGACTTGTGGGGACCAGCTCTAGTGTGTTCCCTTCGAGGCTCATAGTACTACATGACGTTCATTGATGATGCTATGAAGAAGGTATGAGTTTATTTTTTAAACATTAATATGATGTTTCTAACACTTTTAGAAGTGCAAAGACATTGTGAAGAAAGTAATAGGGCCAAGGGTTAAATATTTTAGGTCAGGTAATGATAATGAGTACGAGTTGAGCAATTTTAAAAAGTACAACACAGAGAATAAAATAATAAAAAAAAAAAGACTATACTGGGAACACCGCTTCAGAAAAGGGTAGCCGAAAGGATGATTATGATGCTAAATGAGAGAGCTAGATGCATACAATTGAAGTGTGGTTTGGCAAAGATATTATGGGCTGATGCGATTAATACTGAGGCATTTCCGATCAATTGAAGTCTACCGACAAAGTTAAATAATGAAATTCCAAATGATTGACTGCTAAACCGATACACCTCTCTTTCGTATAAACTGTTGGTGAACCAGAATGTTATGCATAAGCTAGGACTAGTGAGGAACCTGACAAGTGAAAACTTGTCATGGATGATTAAATGAATTCTCTCTTGATGAACCAGCCGTGAGAATTGAGTGAACTTCCAAAGTGGAAGAAAATGATGCTTAGAAAATGGATTTATATGATGAAAGAAGAGGCATATAGAAGTAAGTAATACAAGGGTGGAGTAGTAATGATAGGCTATGAGCAGAAATATGAAATCAATTAAAATGATGTGTTCATTTTTGTTGAAAATTTGACAATAATTTTATTGGTCTTGGGCATGGTAGCGTTCAAGAATTTGGCATTAAAATAGTTAGATGTCAAGAAAATATTTCTTGATGGTGACCTAGTTGAAGTGATCTTCACTGTGCGACCAGAAGGGTATGTGGTTGAAGGATAGATCAATCTAGTAAGCATGTATGATCGATCTCAAACAAGCAACATGACAGTGGTCCGGAAGTTTGACTGCTTCATCCATAAGATTGGCTTTAAATGATTTCATATATAATATTTGTATTATATTTGGATGACGTACTATTGGTAGGATCCTATAATCAAGAAGTTGTGAAACTAAAGAAACAACTAGCATAAAGATTCTCATGAAGGATCTTAAAAAGGGGAAACATATTTTTGGCATGCAAATAACTCAACACCGAGAAAGTTATAGATTGAGTCTATTGTAGACAAAATATATGAAGAAGGTCCTAAGGAGGTCAAACATGCAAAATATAGATTCGGTAAGCACATCTTTGGAGAGTTATTTCAAGTTGTCAAATAAGGACTCACTACAGAATGAATTGGAACGTGCTAATATAAGGCATGTTCTATATGCATTCGCCATAGGAAACCTAATTTATGCCATGGTTGGTACAAGACATGATATAAAAAATACAGTGGGAGTGGTGAGTTGATTTATGAGTAATCGGAAAGATAACATTGAGAATGACTGAAGTAGATATTGAGGTATCTACGAGATACTTTAGATAATGCACCGATCTTTGACAAAATGCAGACTTAATAAACTGGATTTGTAGTTGCCGACTTACCGGGAAACAATTATGGTAAAAGAAAAAATACATTTGAATATGTTTCACTTATTGATGAACAACAATATCATAGATCGGGCTATGGACTTCCTTGCAACTCATGCGTGTTCCGTCCTTGCTCCACAGACCTTGCTCGGATCAGAGCTTGCAAGGATCCTACATGGGTTTCTCTAGAAGGATGCTGACAGACGGCCCAACTTTTGCTTGTGCTTCTGATAGTACATAGTTTATTTTATTATTTTTTAGTTTCTTCGTTTGCATTGTAAATATTAGAGAACTATGTATAGCTTGATCTCATTTTGAGTGTGTAGACAACTTGGTATTTTCTTAGTCCAGCGAAAAAAATACAATATCATAGACCTGAAAATTACAAAATATAGTTACATAGGGTTTATGGAATAGTTTTTATAGTGAAAGTTATAGCACAATTCACTTGGTTAAGAATCATACATCCATGCAAGAACAAAACATACTGAAATAATGTTTTTATTAAATTATTGAGCTCTTAAAAAGGGATATTCTAGAGTTGAAAAAGATTTACGAATTAAAAAAATCATTTGACACATCCGACAGCTTCAATTGGTCTCAATGAGTGAAGAAAGGGGCTTGAAAGCTTTGTAATAACTAGTTGAAGACATAAAGCAAAAACACGTGTTTGGACTTTAAGTAGAAGAATGCTATGTTGTGAAACAACAAGCTAGAGCCTGGAGGAGTATTGTAACATACAACCTATTGCCATTCGACCTCGATAGTAATATTATTGGGGTTTTTTAATCAAGGGGGCAAGCAGAAAATATTTTTTTAGAGAAAATTTACATCGAAAATACTAGTGAAAATATATGATTCGATCACTTTCAAACGTAAATTATTATGATCAAACTAGATAACCAAATAATTGTCTTATTATGTGCATTTTTATCTTATTTTTTTAAAATCAATTTTATAACAAATATACTCTCTCCATATGCAAATAATAGTCCTATTAAAGCCGGTGTGGAGAATAAAAAAACTAAATATTTTATTAAAAAATAAAAAAATATTTGAAGGTATTTTTTATAATTTAGCTAGCAATTAAAGTAAATGAAAGAAAGAATGTAATTAAAGTAGTCATAATTATGGTAAATAAGTATTAAATGGTACGTTAATAATTAAAAATCTAATGTTTTACTTTGCCAAAATTAATAATAAAATAAATTTAATGAATGCACGAAATCAACTGATGAATAAAATATTAACTAAATATCCCTTTTGATGTGATATATTTTTCATATAGAGAGAGAAAATAAACTATTGTAGGAAGATGAGATGCAACCAAACACGTTGTTATTATTATTATTATTATTGTGTATATGTTGTGACATCTCATACCCATGGGTGCCTAAGTCTATATAAGGGGCATAGCTCTCACCGCCTTAGCGTGCAAAACATCAATTCGTCAAAGTCATATATAGGCTTCAATATTGTAACAGAGATTGAATCGCCGGCGATATTTTGCAGTATCGCAATAATCCAATTAATTAATTGATTAATTATGAAAATGGGAGTGGAGCGTCTTATCCTTGCTGCTATTGTTGCATCGTCCCTTTTCTCCATAGCTGTCGCCATAGCCGGAGAAGCCACTTTCTATACAACTTATGTTCGTAAGCACTCCAGCCTCCATCCTTCATTTTTGTTGCACCATCTCTTCCATCTCATATTTTAACTCATTATTTATGTTAGGTTATGCTTTTCCTTTCCTTTTCTCTTTTATTTATTTAATTTTGATAAAGTCTTACGTGACTGACAGTCATATGATATCTTAAATTGAAGTTTTAATATATATATATATATATGATACCTCAGAATTATAGAATGAAATGACTCCTAGCAACATCATGTAAAACATATATATTTATTGTTATTGTTGTGAGATATTTTAGATATTCAATTTAGTAGATTTATATCTAGATTTAATCTTAGATTACTTAGATTTGAGTTTATCGAGTCTGTTTTATATTGCCTATATATAAGCTTCTTATTTTGATGATCAATAAGACAATCTTATTATTGGAAACAGACAAGCAGCGAAGATTTTATATTGCAGGTTGAATATACCCGGAGAAACGCAGGTTGATAGACTATATGTACGGCATGAGAAAAATAGGCTCTGATACTATATTGTCTATTTTATATATAGACAATATAAAATAGACTCGATAGACTCAAATATAAATAATCTAATCTATTAATAAGATCAAATCTAGATATAAATCTACTAAATCTAAAATTGAATATTTAAAATATCTCAACATATACAAGACCAAGATTACATATTTGTCCTATATAATTAATAAGAGAGTGTTCTTGAAATGGTTTATTCTTGCAATATTTTGACAGTTCTTATTTATGATCATGGTTGCAAGTTTGACGTTATCTTGATGCTTGTGCATTTAAAATTTTGCTAAATTACGTTTTATGGCCATATGCTTCGCAGAAATGGACCATTTTTTTCCTCTCTAATAGCCATGGAATTCACATCTGCAAAATCACATCTTTGATTCTATAGGGAGCCAAAAAAAAAAAAAAAATCAAAATAAAAAACGTTTTACCATGGATATAAAATATAAAACTAACAAAGAAAAAAAAAAAGAAAAGAAGGCATTCAATCACTTGAGCTATAACCCATGGGCAATGATTATTAAGTCTGTCGTTCTTGAATATATTTTTTCAGCTTCTTCATGCTATGGATTCGCGTCACAAGGTACGATGATAGTAGCGGCAAATTCCCAACTGTTCAACAACAAGGCAGCATGTGGTAGGACCTGCCGAGTTCGATGCACTGGTCGAACCAATCTCGGGGTGCCTCAGCCGTGTCGCAATGGTGAAGTCACTGTGAGAATTGTTGATCTGTGCCCTGGATGTGGAGCCAATCAGCTCGACCTTTCTCAAGAGGCATTCTCCATTATTGCCGACCCCAATGCCGGAAGAATCAAGATCGATTATAATTGGTAAATATATATATATATATGTAACGACTTTAATTTCTTCTTTCAACAACCAGATTTATTTTCATTTAATTGAATTTAATTTGTTGCTATAACATATATATATATATATTATCCATTTCGGTTAGGGTGCTGATTAAGTCAAATAAGCACGTATAAACTTATATAAAAGAGAGGGCGCACATGTGACAATATTATACTACAATAGACAACATATAACATAATTTCAAGTAGTACAATATATTATTGATTTGAGTAGAATAAGAGTGTGTTCCTTTATAAGATTTTGTCAAAATTTTACTATTCATCCAAACTTTTTTCCCCAAAAACATCAAATCAAATACCTATTTTTCATTTTTTATATTATACTAAAAATCAATTTTACATTCAAAAGATCACATCAACACCTATTTATATCACATCATATAACTATTCAAATTCAAAATTTTTCCTATTCAAATCCCAATCCAAAATCCAAACCCCCAAACAATACACTATTGGTGTTACAACATACTTGCTCTTCTGTATAACAAAACATGCTATATTATATAAAAACATACACTATTGGTGTTAGATGTATATGTTGCCCCCATAAATTAACAGTAAGATTATTGATGATTTAATTTGAAGTTCCATATATAATTGATGTTGGAGAATTAATGTATGCATCTTTTTTTTATTCATTGTAGGATGTTACTGACAATATATATATATATGTATGTATGTATTTCTTTGTTTGTGCTTTGCAGTTCCTGAACACAGAGTTTTGGATGCAAAATCTTGGATCTATGTGAAGAAGAATAAGCTCTCATGAGCAAATATAAATAATGTTGTTGTTATTGGACAATGGTCGTTGTTCTCCAGAACTGAAGACTATTCCATTTACATTATAAGTAAGAAAAGTATTCTCTAGGGCTACGGCTTGTGTTATAAAATTCCAAACAAATATAAATAATTACCCTTGCTCGTTTATATGGTGAATTTCAGTCAAAGCACATTGGTTTTCTTTGCTTTTAATATATACAGCTTCTAAAATAAAAATAAAACTAAAAAAAATAATAAGTTGCAAAGGTTCAGCACAAAAATAATATATAGTTTAACCGGAGATTTTAACAAGCTGAATCGAATATAATTTTAAATATTTGAGCTTGTTCAAATTATTCGAGCTCAGTTCGTTAAGCAATTTTATTTTTGAGCTCGTGTTTATTTTCGGATCGAATAAACCCGTTTGGGCTCGTTTGGAAAAATATGATATTATATTTTATTTTTTAATTCATATATATATATAATAATTCATTTATTTATTATTTCTTAATTAATAACTTTATATATATATTTTTAACAAATGTTCGTGGACAAAGTTCAAAACTCATTTATTAACAAAAACAAGTCTATTTAATTATATTATTCCGCTCAGTTTATTTATGTTTCGCAAATGAGCTCAAACTGAGGCGAACTAAGCTAAATTCACAAACAATTTGATTTTAACCATGAGATAAAAAAGAAAATATCATATTACTTATAAAATCATATTTACTTTTTAGTACATAATGTTCAAAATCAGGCGAGAATACGTGTGAATACATGAGGTTTAACGAGAAGAGAAGCAAAGTCATCAAATTGTACTTGTAACATACAATTAAAGTTGTGTTTGGTAGATGGTCGGATTTATGGTTAAAAGTTTGATAATTATTTATAATAATAATATATATATGGTTAAGATTAATTTTAATATAATTTTATTTTTTTAAAATTATATCACCGGAAAATATATTTAATATGAATATTATTTAATAGACATACAATAACATTTTATTATAATAAAAATATATATTCATATACTACATAATTTACAAAACTAATTTTATAAAAAATAATATAAAATTTGAAATTTGTATAAATATATTTATTTTGTGATAGAAGAAATATAATTAAAAAATTATAAATTATTGGAATTGTGCCTTAAATTCTCGGTGAAAATTTCCATAAGCTTCCAATGACCTAGTCAATGGTATGACTAAATGTACATTCTCGTTTAGAAATTGATTTTGTGGATTGTGCCAAACTAGTAGATTCCATAGGCATTAATCTCAAGTATGACAATGATAACAAGTTAGACTTGACATAATATCTGACTCATGGCTTGAATAAGAAGTAATTATCGTAGGATACCATATCTGCAACATTTCATCTATTTTTTTATTACTATTTATTTGATTTACCTTTCTTCTTAGAAGATCAAAACTTTCAATTTGAATAGATATTGAGTAGAGGACGTTTTTGGTGGAGAGAGTGAGAATCATTCGATTGTAAGAATTTGATTCATCTAAGTGGATTCCTCATCCTCCATGATTTTTTTATGTTTTCGATTTTCCATGTAAATCTCGTGTTATTTTCATATTTCGCAATATTACTTTGTGCTTCAATTGTATTTTATTCACTTTCGTAATTTCAACAGATTTTTTAAGCGCATAAATCACTAAAAAGTGGTATTAGAGCATTTAATAATTGAAAATGTCTATTGAAAAATTCAAAATTGAGAAGTTCGATGGAAAATTTTGTTTGTCATTTGGAAAATTAAGATGCGGGCGATTGTAGTTCAAAATGAAATGTAAAAAGTATTGAATGGAAAGAAGAGTTTTGGCCTCAATGATGCAGCCATGGATGATTTTGACAAGAAAGCATGATTGTAATACAACTAATGTTGTCGAAAGAAGTCCTGTGTGAAGTTGTTCATGACACCACCGCACAAGGATTGTGCTTGAGGTTGAAGATACAATATATGATGAAGTCTCTTGCAAACAAACTTCGTTTGAAGGACTGGTTTTATACTATTCAAATAACTCGATGGTAATTCAATAAAACTTTTACTAAAATCTACTTGTCATCCATAAAGGCTCCGGAAAAGGAGGGCCGATTGCTTGGACAGATTACCAGCCGATCAGGTTGTGTAACGTTAGCAGTAAGATCCTCACAAAATTGCTTACAATGCGTCTTGGGCCTTTCTTTCCGTGTCTTCTATGTCCGTACCAAAACGGGTTCATGAAAGGCCGCGCAATTGCCGATAGCATTCTTATGGCATCGAAGATTGTGCATGACTTGAATTTGCCGGGAGTTTGACCTTAACAAAGCGTATGATAGGGTTTCTTGGAGGTTCCTTCGGCACGTGCTGATGAAGTTCGGTTTCTCGGAACGCTTTATTTCATTTATCATGAATTGTGTGGAGAATGTGTGGTACTCAGCCTTGATTAATGATAAGTTGGATGGATTTTTCAAGTCCTCTCTTGGTGTTCAGTGAGGGCACTCTCTCTCGTCGACGCTATTTGTTTTGACGGTGGATCTTTGTTGAGAGGCCTTGAGCACCTTTATCAGGGGTGCCCGAACCTCTATTATCGATGCCGGGGAGGATTTTGTTTGACGCCTTTAGCCTATGCAGATGATGTCTCAATTTTTGCTAATGCTTGTAGCTCGCGGATGGACTCTTTGACAATGTTTTTGGATGACTATGCGATGATCATCGGAGAGTGTTCGAAGTTGGCTCTGGTTGGCCACAGGGTTCGGAGGAGTTGAGCTCCCAATTACATGCCTTGGAGCCACACCTTATGCGGGTAATCAACATAATATTTTATATGAGGAGCTCCTTGGCAAGCATTGAGATACTTGTGGGAATGGGATCGAGCCGTTCTCTTGCACGGAGGCCGTCTTCAGTTGATAAAGACTACTCTCTTTTCCCTCCCTTTATATTTACTACAGGCTCTCCGCCCACCATAGACGGTCCTTCATTCGATGAAGTATCTTTTTGCTAGATTTTTTTGGGGTTCATCTACGGTCATCTTTGGCGTCACTAAATTTCGTGGGAGAATGCCGCAAGTTTGGTGGAGGAGAGAGGCTTAGGTGTTCGGAGACTATCTAATATGGTCCAAGCTTTCTCTTGTAAAATTTGGTGGAGGTTTTAAGATGGCGCTTCTTTGTATAAAGCACGAGTACTTTTGTGCACCTTTCCGGGGAGTACTCCTTGTTGGAGTTACGATATTATGGTGTGGAAGTATTTGTTTGGGGTTTGCGATGATGCGCAGTCTTGTATGACTTTGAGCTTGGGTCATGGGGAGTTTCTTTTGGTTTGATGTGTGGTGCGTGGAGCAGCCCCTTTCGACTTATCAAGGTGATCGGCCACTAGCTTGTTTGTTAGGGAGATGTGGCGACATGGGTCTTGGGATATGGAGCGGCTTAGAGCATACCTTCCGGAGTCACTTGTGTGTCGTGTTTATGAGATTTCCATATATTGTCAGGCCGGTGATCGGATGATTTAGAAGACTTCAGACTCCGGCAAGTTTACAGCTTCATTTGCATGGGATATTAGTCTGGATGCCGGGTTCGGAGTTGGCTTTCTGAGGCTTTATGGTCGCACCTCCTCACTCCTACTATGTCGGTTTTTCTTTGGCGTTTATTTCACCTCATGTTAGAGCACATAAACAAGCAATAGAAAATAATCAAACGGAACAACCGTCTGCCCAAAAGCCAGCAGGCTTCTTATTTCTTCAAATCAATCATAATATCTTCAAACCCTAGTTGCCTTTTAAATACTCCTACTAACTTATTAAAAATAAACTAGGTCCAGCTAATAATAAAAGTCCAAGCCCAAATCCAATTATAATGTCTTAATTAGAAAGATAAGTAAATAAGTCTAAACCCGCGAATAGCAGGTCTAAGCCCGTCCCCGTCGTTGATACACCAGTAATGCTGAGGCTCCTCTTCCTCTTGCATCTCGATTCCTTGCCCATCTTGTTGTTACTCTCTAACAATTCCTTCCCTTTTCGAATTCACCTTGTCCTCAAGGTCAAAGTCTGGAAAACTGACGCCGGAAATGAGCCACTCTCAACCAAGTCGCCTCATCGTCTGGTTGCCCCACCCATTTAATTAGAATCTCATATTCATCGCGTTGGCCTACTCGCACATTTCGCGAAGTTTAAATAGAGTTGGGTTCGAAGGGTGGACTTACTGGCAACTCCAAGCTGTTTGGTAATTCTGACGCCACGGGATGCTCCCCTACCACACGTCGCAACTGAGATATATGGAATACTGGGTGAATCCGGCTAGATGGTGGTAAGGTAAGCTTGTATGCTGCTTGGCCCACCCTACCTTCTACTGCAAAAGGGCCGTAGAAGTGGGCAGCTAACTTGTGATGTGGTCGTCGTGCTACGGATGTCTGTCGATGGGGCCGTACCTTCAGACAAACACGATCGCCTACTACGTACACCAAGGCCCTGCGTCGCTTGTTTGCATACTTGGTCATCTGTTGTTGGGCTTGTTCCAGGTTTTTCTTAAGATGGTTGATCATCACATCTCGACTGCTCAACACATCTGCCACCGCTGCCATTTGACACTCTCTTGGCAAGAATCGTCGAATGGTAGGCGGCTCTCTTCCATAGACTGCCTCAAATGGGGACATCCGGGCTGTTGTTTGGTAAGAGGTGTTGTACCAAAATTCTTCCCACGACATCCATCGCACCCATTGTTTTGGGTGTTCACAAGTGAAAAAATGCAAATATGTCTCCACCACCCGGTTCAATACCTCTGTCTGGCCATTTGTTTCAAGATGTTATGCTGAGCTGAACTTCAATTGGGTTCCGGAGCATGTAAATAGTTCCTACCATAAGGCACTAACAAATAAAGGATCACGATCACTGAAAATGGATCGTGGAATGCTATGCAGTCGTATAATCTCACGGAAAAATGCCTCTGCAACCATACGGGCAGTCACCGGTGGTTTCAAGGCGACGAAATGTCCATACTTTGATAGTCTATCAACAACCACCATGATTGATGTGTATCCTCGTGACTTCAGCAAGCAAGTGATAAAATCCATGGAAACATACTCCCAAATTTGATTGGGTATCGGTAAGGGTTGTAGTAAACCCGCCGGAGACATAGCTTGATATTTTGCTTTCTGGCACACTAAGCATCGGGCTACATACTCCTGTACATGACGGAACATGCCTCTCCAATGTACATTCATAGCCAAACGTCTATATGTCTGCAATGCCCCTACATGCCCACCTAAGGGAGTATCATGAAACTCATGTAAAAGGCGAGGGATCCAGTGCGAATCTGCAGGTAGCACCAAACGCCCTTTAAAGAATAATCGACCACCTTGCACCTCATACCCCGGACGACTGTTCGGTTGTTGTAATATTGCTTGCAAAATGCCTTGGATATGGTCATCACGGCTTTGTTCTTCCAAGACATCTGTTAGTCCCACTCATTCCGGCCCACTTAATGCTGTCAGAGTTCCATCTTCATTTCTACGGGATAGAGCATCTGCGGCGGCATTAGAAATCCCTATTTTATATTCGATTTTAAAGTCGTAACCCAATAGCTTCGCTACCCAAATATGTAGTGAAGGCATCAAAATCCTTTGAGAAAGTAGATGCTTGAGGCTACGGTGGTCAGTTCGAACCATAAATTTCCACCCCACCAAGTAAGGACGCCAATGTTGCACCGCTAATACGAGACCCATCAATTCATGCTCATATGCAGATCTCGTTAGAGTTTGGTCGGCTAGCGATTTGCTAAAATAGGCAAGAGGGCGTTGATCCTGCATCAAAACAACACCAATTCCTATGCCAGAAGCATCGCATTCGATCACAAAAAGGGCGATCAAATTGAGGCGTGGCTAGTACAGGAGCTTCGGTCAAGGCCCGTTTAAGGTTAGTAAAAGCAATATCCGCCTCCGGTGTCCATGTGAATAATGCAGAAGCTATTTTCTTTAATAATGTAGTCAACGGTCGAGCTAGAATGCCATATCCTCGTACAAATTGTCGGTAGTATCCAGTTAGTCCCAAAATCCTCGCACCTCACTGATAGAGCGGGTCGGGGCCATTCGACCACTGCACTAACCTTTATTGGATCCATGGAAACACCTTTTACTGAAATAATATGGTCCAAGTACTCTACCTTTACACTTCAGAATGAACATTTCTTCCGATTTTCCTTAAACATTTGGCCTTTTAGAATCTGCAAAACTTGCGTCAAATGCTCTCGATGTTCCTCCCACATCTTGTTGTAAACCAATATGTCGTCAGAGAAAACCAAGAAGAATCTCCTTAAGAATGGCATGAATAGGTCATTCATTATCTATTGAAATGTAGTCGGTGCATTAGTCAATCCAAAAGGCATCACTAGAAACACATAGTGCCTGTTGTGGGTCCGAAAGGCAGTCTTGTGAATGTCACAAGCCGCCACTCTAATTTGATGGTACCCTGACCGCAAATCAATCTTCGAGAAAATGACCGCTCCTGCCAACTCGTCCAACATCTCATGAATTACTGGTATGGGATATTTACCTGGAATCGCGACTTTATTTAGTTCTTTCTAATCAACATAAATATGCCAACTTCCGTCTTTCTTCTTCACTAGTAAAACCGGGCTAGAAAAGGGGCTCAAGCTTGGTCGAATAATTCCGGCCATTAGCATATCGCTCACCAATTTCTCAATCTCATCTTTCTGAATATGACTATATCGGTATGGTCGGACCGATACCGGCTTTGTTCCGGGGTTCAGCTCTATGCAATGGTCAGTTAGCCGTCTTGGTGGCAAACCCTGTGGCTCCTCAAATATCTCTGTAAATTGTTGTAGGATATCCTCGAGCTATTCCACTTTTGATTCTATGGCTCTCATAGGCTTATTCTTCAACACAAGCGCCCAAAATTCAGCCCCATGAACTCGGCTTAACATCTTCAAGCTTATTGGGCTGCGACAGAGAGCCGGGTCACCCTTCAGCAACACTCATTTCCCTTTTCCCTCAAATGACATCGTTAGGGCTTCCCAATCGGTTCGAACTTCGCCCAGCGTAGCGAACCAGGCTATGCACAAAATAATATTGACCCCTCCAAGTAGAAATACAAAACAATCGGTGGTTACCTTGCACTCGGATAAGGAGACCGTAATACCCTGACACACTCCTGCAGATTTCTGCCTCTGCCCATCCCCAACTGAACTCCAAATTTTTCTGTACAGTCGGGTTGTAGTTGCAAGTCAGATACTAAGGAAGATGATATAAAGTTATGGCTATCACCACTATCAATCAATACTGTCACTGTCCTTCCTTGCATAACCTCGAGCAGGCGTATAGTCCGCGGACTTGATAAACCCACCATAGAGAAAACCGGTAAGGTACCCAATTCTGTAAGTTCATCTGTTTGTTCTTCCGACCACTCTTCCTGTCCAGTGGGTTTGTAGTACTCATATTGTGGAAGGTCCAAGACCTATTCTCCCTCATCAGCAATCATGACTTGTAATTGTTTAAGGGGACATTAATGTCCCGGTGAATATGGTTTCTTGCAGCGAAAGCACAACCCTTTTGTCCTCAGATCAGCCAAATCTTGGGGTGATAGGCGAGTAAATTGGGCACGACTCGTTGATTGGCTGGTCGTCATCAGCCGTGCTAGTAGGGTTCGATCGGGAGGCTTGGAAATACTACCGATGGATGCGGTGAGGCTCCCCCCTGTAAACGTGCTCATGTTCGAGGGATTAGGTCGAGACATGAGGTTCATGGGAGATGCCTGACTGTTGAAACTTCAGAATGTGCGGCCACTAGCCTGCACCTTGATATTATCCTCAATATCCCTTACCAATTCCATGGCTGTTTCGAGGTCCCCGGGTCTAAGAAGACAAAGTGAACTTCGGAAAGAATCCTTTAAGCCCTTCATAAAGTATCTGAGGTAGTGTGCATCTGTCAAACCCGGAACTTGGCTAGCCAGTTAAACAAATAGCGTTACATAGTCGTCCACAGATCCTTTTTGTTTAATATATGCCAATCGTTTGAAGGGACTCCCTTTAAAGTGTGTATCAAGTGTCGCTACCAGCGCTTGCGAAAATTCTTCCCATATTAGTCCCGGTTTGCACGAGCGTAACCGGGTTGACCAGTATAATGCAGCATCTTCCATAGCCACCACTGCTGCAGGCAACTTCATCTTCGGACTGGTGTTATGAATTTCAAACTGTTGATTCGTGCGGGCCAACCATTCTATCGGATCCGAACCATTAAAGGATGGAAGTTGCACAGGGCCCGACTGCAATCGGGAGTCAATCACCAGCTGTAGTGGCACCGCGGCCGTGGGCAGCCGTGTTGGTTGTACTGGTGCGGCTGCTGAGGGACGCGATGTGCCTTTCTCTGCCGTCGCGCTATTCTCCCCATAGTGGTCTGTCACCAATTGCTGCGATCCAGAGTGTGTCAGAATCACTTTCGAGAATTCAGTGAGAGTCGCCATGATCTCTGCCAGTTGGATATTAGTCGTCTTCATATTCTCCTTCATCTCGGCTTGATCAGAATCAAGTTTGTCCAGTCGCTCTACTGCGGACGTGTTGTTGCCATGATGACATGATCGGGATCCGGAAGATGGGACCAATTGTTAGAGCACATAAACAAGCAATAGAAAACAATGAAATGGAACAACTGTCTGCCCAAAAGCCACCAGGCTCCTTATTTCTTCAAATCAATCATAATGTCTTCAAACCCTAGTTGCCTTTTAAATACTCATACTAATTTATTAAAAATAAACTAGGTCCAACTAATAATGAAAGTCCAAGCCCAAATCCAATTATAATGTCTTAATTAGAAAGATAAGTAAATAAGTCTAAACCTGCGAATAGCAGGTCTAAGCCCGTCCCCGTTGTCGATACACCAGTAATGGCCGAGGCTCCTCTTTCTCTTGCATCTCGATTCCTTGCCCATTTTGTTGTTGCTCTCTAACACCTCCGAATGCCAATTGACGAGGCCCTTTGCCGCTTTAGTGTTCCTATTGTCTCGAGATGTTAGTGCTTCTGTACAGAAGAGACAATCTCTCACCTTTTTATTGAGTTAGGGGCCGTCAGGAAAATTTGTAGTCACTTTGCAGAGTTATTGGGGTTTCTTTGCTGGAGACGCAGACGCCACATATTTTTGTATCCTCGTGGCAGATTTCTTCAGTGCATACTTGGAGCATAAGGACATCAATCCCTATTTTAATGATGTGGTTCATCTAGATTGCCCGAAACGACACGAAACACTAAGATTTTTTTTTTATTTTCTTCTGAGAGGATTATATTTGGTCCATGCATTTTCACTTGCAAGTATTATGGCATGCCGGTGTCCTTTTTCAAAACAATTGGGATGGGGATTTACACGTTGTGGATAGCCTAGGGGTTTCGGTTTTCTCCTCCGAATCCCCGTTGTCCGGTACTTGTGCAGTGGGAGGCTCCGTCCCCAAGGTGGTACTTTTTTTTTGTTTTTCAAAAAGACCTCCCAAGTATAATTTTGTTCCAATAATGACATGAGGCAAGCCATTCAAAGTTGTGAAATGCAAACATGAACCTTAAATGGGAAATTCAATACCACTTCAATAGCAAAGAATATTTGATTTCATAGTGTCCAAATCTATCTGACCAAAAAAAAAAAAAAGAACACATCTTTGTCATGAAACATGAGTCGTAGAACAAGATAAGTATGTATGAAAAAAAAAA